ATCAGCACTCTTAATCCATTCCATGTATTGGTAGCCTCAACGTGCATGCTACAGACCTGACAAATATGCTAAAAGGCAGGTATCTACCCCAAAGAGCTTACAATGTACTTTTTAACATTGCTGAACGGGAATGGGGAAAAGGAAGAGGCACAAGGGTTTGAACAAACACGGTTTCATGGTACTTAGGATTAAGGGGAGATGAGGTTTGAGGATGTATTTGAAAGAAGAGACAGAGATTGTGTTGTGGGAGGAAGGTTCATGTGTAAAAAAGGTAACAATTTATTTATTTTTAAATAAGTTTTCCAGAACATATGCAAAGCAGCATACATCAAACAAACATTACAAGCAACAACATCCAAATCTACCAAAAGCTAGGGGTTAGGGAACCCAGGAACAATAAAAATAGTTGAGATGTCTCTGTAAACAAAAACATCTTTCTGAGACTTCCAGTGGGGCGAGCAGAGGACAAAGCAAGCATATTTTAGAAGAGGCCTCTATAAACACGAGGAAGGGCCACGAGTTAGTGTAGCTGATTTCAATTTCTTCAAGGGGCCTCATTTTCGATGCCTTTGGCAAGCTATTGCCTTGGATTTCCTCCAGAGGTCCTGAATTTTGTTTGGTTTAGCGCCATGCTTCATTCCAACTTAATGATCACTGTGGCCCTTATGACTCTCTCTCTCTCTCTCTCTCTCTCTCTCTCTCTCTCTCTCTCTGTGTGTGTGTGTGTGTGTGTGTGTGACAATAGTGTTAATTACTTTGGTGCCATAAAGTTGTAAATTGCAAAACACCAAAGAAGTCGTTGTGTTGCTGTAAATACCTTGGCTAAAGACGATATTACTTCTGAGGGATTGCAGCAGTTGGTTTGATTAGTTGACTTTTACGACTAGTCCGGAGTTGGAAGTGTTGGAATGTCCACAATGTGAATGGGGCAACCAGGTCATTCAAGCTTTCAAAAGCAGAGAAGTATAATTTCTGTATTACAGAGGCCTGAGATGCTTTAAAGACACACACACACACACACAATGTATTTACATGAGAACAACTTTGATTTCTTATTTCTTTCTTTTAAAGCTTGGACTTTATTACTCAACTGATCCACAAATGCTTATTTTACATGCCTACTTCCTTATGTTGCTTTTTTTTAATTTTGAAATTCATATGTTGTGATAACTCCATTTTTTTGTATTTTATACACAGTGAAAACTGAAATAAAACTTTACCAAAAAAGAGGGGCACACACACTATACAGGGTCTGGGGTGGGGGCATTGAATATCAACAGCCTTGGCTTGGGGGGAGTGTACCACACGAGCCCTTGCCATTCCATTACCCAGTATTTGAACCTGGGCCAGCATGCAGGCTGCCTAGGTGGTCGTGAAGATCCTGGTGGTCTCATTTTGTATTTTTATGTCTTGAACCACCCTGTGATCTTCAGATGAAGGAAAGTGTACAAATGTGATTTTTTTTAAAAAAAAAAAATCCTTGTTCTCATTTCATAGCAGAGCCCAGTGTCCCTGTAGCCAATTAAGTTGTGTCCTTGTTAACCCATTACACTGCCTTGGCCTGCCCGTTGCTCCCTGCGCCTGGTGCACAGACAGTTCCAGGCATTTCTGCAGGTTGCCAAGTTATGCCACTATTTGCAGAAGCACCCTAACAATCATAAGTGATGTGTTCTGTGCCCTGTTGGAAGAACCAATAGAAAATCCAATCTGATTTATTTACACTGGGGACAGAAACAGAGTTTCATATACTCAAAGGAGTGATATTCCTTTTTTCCTCCCAAGAACAAGTCAGATGGGCGTTGGGGTGCAACTCACAATAGTCATGTTCTAGCATGTGGCGCTGTGGTCTAAACCACTGAGCCTAGGGCTTGCCGATCGGAAGGTCAGCGGTTTGAATCCCCGCAATGGGGTGAGCTCCCGTTGCTCAGTCCCAGCTCCTGCCAACCTAGCAGTTCGAAAGCACATCAAGTGCAAGTAGATAAATAGGTACCGCTCTGGTGCGAAGGTAAAGGGTGTTTCCGTGTGCTGCTCTGGTTTCGCCAGAAGCAGCTTAGTCATGCTGGCCACATGACCTGGAAAAACTGTCTGCGGACAAAGGTCGGGTCGCTCAGCCATTAAAGCGAGATGAGCACCGCAACCCCAGAGTCGTTCGCGACTGGACTTAACTGTCAGGGCTCCTTTACCTTTACCTTTTTAGCCAAAATTAACCTCCCATTGATTTCAACAAGAGAAAGAGAAACATACCTTGGATTCTCACATCGTGCTTTAAAAGTGTGCTCTGCTACCTGTAAAAACATAAGCTGGCAAATTTATATGAGCTGTTGTTATGATGAGCATTAATCTGTTGCCTCGCTGGGCAGATGTCTTAGATGAAAATCCTTTCATGTAGGAAGACAATAGCCTTTCCCTTGCAGGGCTTATTTGTCTGCAGGCATGATTCCCTCAGAAGAGTGACCATAAAGGCTCCCTTTCCACAGAAGAGCCAAGATCTGAAAGGCTGTCACATTGCTCTGAAAGGAACAGAAAAGCCACAACTGAGCAAAGCAACCGCAGCAGAGCCCATCTCTCAGCACTGCCAGGCGAGCTGAGCAGAGCCTGTTCCCTAGCTGAAAGCTGCCCTCAGCCAATCTAAGTAAAGGTTGCCTTCTCTTAGTAGGCTATGGAGAATCCAGCATTAGCTCCTTTAATTACATTAGCAGCAGTTGTAACAGGTTTTTAATATCGTCTCGATGCATGTGCCAGCTTCCCTTGGCAGAAAGACACCTGCCTCTGACGCCTGAGATTGGCTAAAGACTGCATTGTTGTTGTTTTTAATGATCCCTATTTAATAATGGATGGGACGCGGGTGGCGCTGTGGGTAAAAGCCTCAGTGCCTAGGGCTTGCCGATCGAAAGGTCAGCGGTTCGAATCCCCGCAGCGGGGTGCGCTCCCGTTGTTCGGTCCCAGCGCCTGCCAACCTAGCAGTTCGAAAGCACTCCCGGGTGCAAGTAGATAAATAGGGACCGCTTACTAGTGGGAAGGTAAACGGCGTTTCCGTGTGCGGCTCTGGCTCGCCAGAGCAGCGATGTCACGCTGGCCACGTGACCCGGAAGTGTCTGCGGACAGCGCTGGCCCCCGGCCTCTTGAGTGAGATGGGCGCACAACCCTAAAGTCTGTCAAGACTGGCCCGTACGGGCAGGGGTACCTTTACCTTTACCTATTTAATAATGGAGGTGGAAAAGCAAGGGGAAAGCTGCTCAGTGGTTCAGATTATATCCCAGTCCTCTCCTGCTGTGCAAAGTACTATTTTCATGAAGAGAGTGTTGTTGACATCCATCTGTCTTGAGACATTGGAGTACGCCTTGGAGGTGGAGTAAAACAGCTGTGTTAACAGCCCCAAAGTGACCTTCCCAGGGTACAAGCCTAGGCAGTGTGTACAGAGGTCCTGGACTGCTTAGATGACAAGACTCCCCTCTCTCAGCCTCACTGATGTGGTCCAAAGGAAACAGAGCAATGTGTTTGGTGCCAGCTTGGCTGCAGGAGTTGACAGGAATGAGGTGTACAAGGTGCCATGCAACTGTCTTAGGAACTCCAACCTTTTCTTCTCCTGAAGATTGACACCACTAGGTTGTAAGGTTCAGGTTGTAAGGTAAAGGTAAAGGGACCCCTGACCATTAGGTCCAGTCGTGGCCGACTCTGGGGTTGCAGCGCTCATCTCGCTTTATTGGCTGAGGGAGCTGGCGTACAGCTTCCAGGTCACGTGGCCAGCATGACCAAGCCGCTTCTGGTAAACCAGAGCAGCGTACGGAAACACCGTTTACCTTCCCGCTGGAGCGGTACCTATTTATCTACTTGCACTTTGACGTGCTTTCGAACTGCTAGGTTGGCAGGAGCAGGGACCAAGCAACAGGAGCTCACCCCGTCGCGGGGATTTGAACTGCTGACCTTCTGATCGGCCAGTCCTAGGCTCTGTGGTTTAACCCACAGCACCACCTGTGTCCCACTCAGGTTGTACATATGTCTAAATTAAACACATAGCCTATGTGTATTATGTGCTTCATTTCCAAAGAAAACCCTGGGTGGACACTTGCAACCCTCAGAGATTGGGGTGGTGTGCGGCAACACTTTGTGCATTGCTCAACTGGAAAGCTGGATAAAAGATTGTTTTAATCATTAACTAAATAAAAATACTACACATCTGGGGAACTGTGTGGACTGGCCTTGCATAATTGCATAGAATCTTAGAATTGTAGAGTTGGAAGCAGGGTGGATTTGATTTAAATCAAAATTTAAATCACAATTTAAATCACTAGTCAGTAAGACTTGATTTGAATAAAACGTTTTACAGAAAGACTCATTCTTGCTGGTATAATCTTAACATTTACAACCAGATGAAGGTTTCATTTTCGGAATAATAAATTTTCAGAGTAGTTTTTACAGTTATATAAAAAATTACTAATTTGGTTATGCTATTAGAAATACATAGACAGATAATTATGAAATTATTGTGAGGTTTAATAAGTTAAATGTTTATAATTGGACAACTTTTCTGCTGTACTTTATTGGAAGGAGAAAAACAATCATTTCCTTAATAACAATTTAAACAATTTATTTAACTAAAACAATAACATTATAGCATATGTATCCATGTTTGTTAACTGATGTGGTTAAATGATTTTAAAAAAACAAAATAAAACCTTAGACTGAGTTTTAGCACTTTGTTTTAAGAAAAACTTAAAACTTATTTTTTCCCCCTGATGAATAGCCTTTGGACTATAATGTAACTTAGATAGAAAACTATCTTTAGAAAGATTTTTCCTCCAAAAAGCATTTTATTTTAAAAATGCAATTTAAATTTAAAAAATCTGATTTAAATTTTTTAAAAATCTGATTTTTTATTTTGTTAAAAAAAATCATTGATCTTTATCCACCCTGGTTGGAAGGGACCCCAAGGGTCATCTAGTCCAACCCCTGCAATGCAGGGATCTTTTGCTCAAAGTGGGGCTCAAACCCACAACCCTGAGATTAAAAGCCTCATGCTCTGCCAACTGAGTGAGGTGCCACATATTATCTGTCTGTGTGATGGTGGCTGGCACTTGCTTTGTCTTCCTTCCTCCTCCTGGCTACCAAAGCAAAATTACTTCCCGCGAAAGAGCTGAGGGTGGAGAGGCTGCAGGCAGGTGCTGTCACTCATCTGCAGGACTTAAAAGAGGAGGCAAGTTGTATTTCTGGTGTGATGTTTTCTCCTGAAAGTAAGAGCACATAAGTAGAGGTTATTGCTTAATGCTTTCTTCTTGCGCATGCCATCTGTCAGCAGCAAATGTGGCAGAGGCTTGGACAAAGCAGGGGTTTTAGGATGGTTCAGACAACCGTGTGGTGTTATATTTTTTGCAGTGAATTGATGTATGATGTGTTTTCAGTCTCCAGCACAGTTGTGGAAAAATTGATAGAGTGACTTGCATGCGCTATAAATCCCTCAGTGAGCACAGAAAGCATAGTGGGATGTATATTAAAGTCGTAAATTAGGATTTTCCTGTTTTCACTCAGTGCTCCCCTCCGCACGCTGATAAATGCCTGAGATAGAACTCGCAGAAGGCTAGAAATAAGTAACTGTCAGGCTGCTGACAAACTACCAGGCATCGGAAGAGATCCCCACCACCAGATAGGAACGGATAACTGGCAATTGTGAAAGAGGCAGAGACTGTTTAGGGCAAGCCTGGGTAAAAAGTCATTAGTCTCCAAATATTTTGAAATCGGATGATGCTTAACTTTCTGTATATCCCAATATCGTTGTCTAACTGAGACTGCAAATTAAATAAGAACAGGCTCAGGATCTGCAGACTACCTATCTTGGAAAGTGACAAGTTATTCATGCTATACAGTCTTACCTCCACTTACATATCCCTCTGGATACGTAATCTTTGGGATGCGAAAGGGTTTTGCCTTGCGCGCATGTGCAGAAGCAGTCCTCCAGTTGCCAATTCCTAGGGATGCAGCTGGACCTCCAGAATGGATCCCGTTTGCAACCGGAGGTACCACTGTACTCCAGTTAGGGTTAGAGTAGTGATGAATTTTCCTGCGAAGGAAAAAATAAAATGAAATGATCAGAAACTCATGCAGAAATGTGGCAAACTGGAGACTGGAAACAAGAGACGCTGTGAGAAATTGAAATTCAGATCCATCCACCCATCCGTAGTAGCATGTCCATCTGCTATTTATTTATACACACCCTGCCCATCTGGCTGGGTTTCCCCAGCCACTGTGGGCAGCTCCCAACAAAATATTAAAAACATGATAAAACATCAAACATTAAAAACTTCCCTAAACAGGGCTGCCTTCAGATGTCTTCTAAAAGTCAGATAGTTGTTTATTTCCTTGACATCTGATGGGAGGGCATTCCAGAGGGCAGGCGCCACTACCAAGAAGGTCCTCTGCCTGGTTCTCTGTAACCTCACTTCTTGCAGTGAAGGAACTGCCAGTAGGCCCTCGGAGCTGGACCTCAGTGTCCGGGCTGAGCGATGGCGGTGGAGACGCTCCTTCAGGTATACTGGGCTGAGGCCATTTAGGGCTTTAAAGGTCAGCACCAACACTTGGAATTGTGCTCGGAAATGTACGTATCTGTATTCTGTGAGTAATATCCAACTTAAGTAAGTCATACTCAGAGTAGATCAACTTAAACTAATGGACTTAGATCACTTAACTCAGTGAGTCTACTCTAACCATGCCTAACATGGAGTACCACCTTATATCCTTCAGGGTATAAAAAATGAATCACAATCTATGCATGAACAGTTCATGAAGGCTTTTCAGCTAATGAGTTCCACATTTTTTTCCATGCAAAAGGGATGGCTTTGGACTCTTTCCCTTTAGCAGATTTTGTGGGTTTCTCTTGAATGCTTTATCTGGTTAAAAATAGATTTGAAGCTGGACGGCAAGTTGGTGGCTGATATACAATATTTCTCTCATTCTGTGAAGCGATACAAATTCCTTTTCACTATAAACAGTTGCCCTGCGCCAACACAGACCTGTGTTTGTGTTTCCTTCAGGGCTTGAGTTAGCTTATATCATTTTCTAGTGTATCAAATATAAAGACTATTTTGTGACTATTTCGAATCCCATGGCTTACGTTTAAGGAGACGACTGGCAACGATGCGTAGAGAAACAGACTTAAAAAATAATGTGAAATTTGTTCTGTCAGAGAATTATGTTGCTTGTATTATTATTTGCCCATCTTGGGATTTTGGCTTCTGGCAAGAGAAAATGAATAAGGCTGTTGTTTCAAGCATAGAACTTGGGTTTTATTTCTTCATTTCCCTGATTTACCCAATGTAACATTCAATCTGTTGTTCATGACTTAAAGGGCTGAGTTTTCAGTTTGCCAAGATCCCAAGTGACTGTCGCCGGGGGTCCCAGTTATATACAAAGACAAGCATGGGATTGGCTCTTGAAAGGGGAGAACCAAAGCCTGCGATCTTCATCACTCAGATTTGTTGACAATGTTTTCTCTCCTTTCCCCAATCTAATTTATTAAGGTATTTCATCATCTGTAACCCCACCTCCAAAAAAATATGAAAAATTAAGCAGTGCCAGCCAAAAAGTAGCTACTCCTTGCCATAACTAGCTAAGTAGCTAAGCCCCCTTTTGCAGTGAGATCTGGTTTTTTTCTTTGTTCAAGAGAGCTGGCCTTTGTGCCAACCAAAAAGACAATGTCCCTTGCCTTGGGTGCTGGAGCCTCATTTCAATAAAATAGCCCTTGCTTTAAAAATAGCATAGGAGACAAATTCCTCCATATGCGTGCCTCCTATAGCACCACTGAAATGTCTCAGTAAATATCCCCTCAAAACTCCACAAGGCATGAAAGACTGTTGAATGAAAAAGTAAACAGATATAAATTTTCCATACCATTCTTTCTCATTAATATAGTACACTGTGGTACACAAGGTCAGTATTTTGGATACTGTTTTATTCACATGCTCTCTGTTGTATCATATATGCAAGATAATTGACCATTTGGTTTATTTTGTTTATACTGTAGTAAAATTAGAGAGAGCGAAGTAGTACACTATCCTTATGTAAATCTTTTTAAATAAAAATAATAAAAATAAATAATTTTATTATGTATGCCATGCCCATCTGCCTGGTTTGCCCCAGCTACTCTCAGTGGCTCCCAACACATATAAAAACATAATATAACATCAAACGTTTAAAAACTTCTTGATACAGGGCTGCCTTCTTCCTCTTCACACCTGCTCATTTTCTCCCCCCCCCCTTTTGAATATAAGTAAATATAAGCAAGTAAATAGCAGACCTATTTTACCATGACACTCGCTCTTTAAAGGAATATCCTTTAGTCGAAAACCACTGTCATGGCTATACTTTGTAGTGCCACTTTCTGATCTGCGCGAGATCTGCTTGCACAGGTTGCATGTTTAAAAAATCCAGTTTCTGAACTATCTCATCAGAAAGGACTGAGGCAGAAGGCACAACCTTGAAATGGTAATTCGTTTCTAGCATCCTCTCAAGTCTGTTTGTGAGTCTGAAACTGGTCTTTACAGAGAGAGAGGATATGCCACAACTGTTCCTTTGGGCTGATATCTCTCCCTTCCTAGAACAGCTTTCAGAGCTTTAGAAGGTGCTGTTTTTCTCTGGTGATGACAGATGGCATTTGCAGGAACAGCTGAAACTATAACAGCCTTGTGGCATCTCGCTTGGAGCAGACAGGTAGCTATTGTCTTATAGGACTGCACATGCTTCCCTTTCCAGTAAGTCCCTTGATCCTTTCTGCGTTCTTCTACCTCTTCCCAAGGAATCTGTATGAAAAGAAGGGGATCCCTGAGCAAGGAGACCACCTGGGTCAGCAATGGGAGTTTCGCTGCCTGTCAATTTTGGGGCTGAGGGAGATAGCAATCTGACCTTCCAGCCAATTCTAATTTTCCATGGTATATGTCTAGGTCTGTGATGATGCAAGCTCCGCCCTCCCTTGAAAAAAACACCTTGCAGAATGTGGCACTGGGTGCATAACTATCTACTTGAGAATATCTTTAAAAGATTGGGTTTCTACCTCCTGGTGTTTATAGAGAGATGTCTGGTGAAAACTGGAAGCTAGAAGAGTGACTGAACTCGAATTCAAGCATTGTCACTGAAGTGTTCTTGCCCCAGTGACCTACATACCTCTTTGCCTCTCTCCATCACCCACAAAACTAGATTGAATTATGCAAAATAGTAACAAAGCGGAATAAATTATGCAACACAAAAGAAATTGTGCATATCTGCATAATTTATACAGGTCACAGAATTGAATTTTTCCTTGTGTACAACTTGGGTTGCTTCTTGTGTGAGATATATGAAGTCCTGTGTTGTGGCAACAGAGACGTACCTAGACTCCTTTGTGCCCAGAGGTGCTGTTTTGCGCTGAAGATTAAGGGGGCCAAACATGTGTCACATCATGGTTGCCTTTTGCTTTTACTGACTGCACAAATGGACTCTGACTTGCCTGGATGGAGGACACAGTGATGTCTGTGTAGAATCTCTGGCTTTTGTATAATAATAATAATAATAATAATAATAATAATAATAATAATAATTTATTTATACTCTGCCCATCTGGCTGTGTTTCCCCAGCCATTCTGGGCGGCTTCCAACCAAATATTAAAAACAATACAGCATTAGACATTAAAAACTTCCCTAAACAGGGCCGCCTTCAGTTGTCTTGTAAAAGTAAAATAGTTGTTTATTGCCTTGACATCTGCTGGGAGGGCATTCCACAGGGCAGGCACCACTACTGAGAAGACCCTCTGCCTGGTTCCCTGTAACCTCACTTCTTGCAGTGAGGGAACTTCAGGTATACTGGGTCAAGACCATTTAGAGCTTTAAAGGTCAGCACCAACACTTGGAATTGTGCTCAGAAATGTACTGAGAGCCAATGAAGATCTTTCAGAACCGGTGTTATATGGTCTCGGCAGCCACTCCCAGTCACCAGTCTAGCTGCTGCATTCTGGATTAATTGCAGTTTCCGAGTCACCTTCAAAGGTAGCCCCACGTAGAGTGCATTGCAGCAGTCCAAGCAGGAGATAACTAGAGCATGCACCACTCTGGCAAGGCAGTCTGCAGGCAGGTAAGGTCTCAGGCAGCGTGCCAGATGGAGCTGGTAGGCAACTGCCCTGGAAACAGAATTAACCTGCACCTCCATGGACAGCTGTGAGTCCAATGTGTGACTAATATGCAGGCTGTTCTGCAAAGTTAAGAGTCACATCCATTGCCTTGCAAGTGTATTACCAGCACTGACCCTGCTCGGCATTGAGATGCAGTCCTGGGAGGCTTGCCCACAAGCAAAAGTTGCCCGTGGAATGGAAAAGGGCCCATCACCACAATGCATTTTAAGCTATCTGGTCTTTTCTTCCCTATCTTCCAAGAATTTTCCTAAACAAAGGAAATGGTCTTTCCAATGGCATCTAAAGAGTGTGCTAAGAGGAAACAAAAACTGCACCAGGAACCATAGCCTATTGGCACTTTAAGCCACCAACATTGTTTACAGTTGTGTGATCCTTTCTCTTGTTTGCTCAACGAGGCTGTTGACCTTATCCCAACCAATAAAATCTGGACAAGTTGTTTGGGTTGAAATCTGCTCCCTGCCCTGCTTTGAAAGTCTGTAGAACTGAGAGAATTCAGCAGTCAGCATGTCCACTAGAATTTATAGTTTTGTGTCAAACATACGAGTCTGTCTTGTGTTAAGATCTATCCAGGGTTTTAACTGAGCCAGTTACATGGAATTTTTTGTGTGCAGGGGTGTGTGAGAGAGAGAGCTTGATGTGGGCAGCTAAAGGAAACTGTAATTGTCACTGAACTTAGATCTAGACATTGCAGGAAGACAGCAATGAAAATAGCAGCCCATGAGCAACCATACCTCCCATCACATCTAGTAAAACTAAATGTAAAACTAAACTCTCAGGTGGGTGTCATTGCCATTATAAGCGATCAAGGGAGGTGTTCATAGTAAGTTCCAGCACCTTCCCCTCCCCCCTAGAAAGATAGCACTGATCTAAAGGGCCACAAGCTCCCCATCCCTTGTCATTGTCC